ACAACATCTGTATTTGTCTTTAATAAAGGATTTTTTTTTACTATTTCCATGGGCAATTTTCATCACGCAATCCAAGAAAATGAGGTATTAGATAAACAAGTAAAACCTTTATTATGAATTACATAACATAAACTAATTCATCTCACAGGCGTCAATGGAGGATACAGATTAAACTAACTTTAAGACGAAGCCTGATCCTTCTCTGTCGTGTCTGTTGGCCAACTGCAAATGTCTGTCAGCAAGCAGTAACATAAAATAGACTACCCTCATGTCCCTACATCATCTGTTCCCTGCAGCTAGTCCAGCTGATAAACCACCAGTGTACAAATCCTGTTGAGCCCAGGATAGCTCTGATATTCCCTTTGAGAGTAAATTGGTTTCACATACAGAGAAGGTGTGTCTGTTTTGCCTTCTGTTTCAGACATCACTGGAGGCATGTGTAAAGCACTTATCCACAGGGAGCACCATTAGTATCGTAGCTGCAGTCATGCTCTCTGTTGGGACTGTCAAATAGGTTAATAGGTAATTCCCCCATGTTACTCTGTTCTTCGGTCCCTGTGGACCGCACAGTCTATATATCTAGACACAAGCTAGGATATAGGTTAAATACCACACACGTACCAACTTGTTACTCCGTCTCAACAGACGGCAGATAGGTGAGAGAAATACCCAATTCAGGAATGTGCACTTACCAGTGCAGTTGGTTGCTGGACAACATTGCATTTGGTTGTGCCAAAAGATCCTGAGACTCTGCTTTTACCAGTAGACCTATTTTGTCATTAGCTGAAATAAATGATCAGCACTGATGTTGGTCTGAAAACAGTCTCACCTGCACAGAAAATGTACAAGGGTCACCTCGTAGATTTTTAGTTAATATTTCAATTAGTTAAACTATTAACTGTACTTAAAAACACGTCTAGATTGTAGTATAATATCTTATACATCATGTCCCACCTGTACTTCTCATATCAAAACAACTGGAATGGAATGCAGCCCAGTGCAGTATATATGAAAGGCTGGCTCTGTGGCTGAGCAAAGTAAAAGTCAGCTGCCTCATAGCTTTTGTCACATTTATGGTACTCAGCCTGTCTGGCTGCCAAAGGCTGCTTCGTAGTTGTACACTAATGCATGTTTACATGTTCGAAGGAGGAGTCATCTATTCTGCTTTAAATGCTTTCACTGTACATGTACATGTCCTTTACCCAGTGAAACCCCAGAACGGCGCTCTCTGTCTCTGTGTATCTGCACACAGACCTGTTAGACTGTAAAATTACTCCTGACCTAATGCAAAAGACCAATTATTTCTGCTAATATGACCATTTTGAGGCTGTTTTTTTTTTTCAGTTTTGTCTTTTTTTATTTGTTTATTTTGTCAAAAGGATATTTGTTTACTTGTGTGTCAGATTTTTTTGTTGTTTTCATCATTCGTTTGCCTTGAAGCAAAGCAGCAGCTGCTTGTACTGTTATTGTTGTCAACTGAGCCAAACCAAACCAAAACCCACTCAAATAATGAAAAGCCTCTAGAAACATCATGTGCTGCAAACACAGTATTTCAGAAGAAAGTGTTTTCACAGTGTGAATGACCTCTATAGACTGTACTGTACTGACTGTACTAAATGGGCTGTTTTGACAGGATACAGGGAAAGGACAATTTCTAATTCAGTGTAATTCTTAGGGTAAAGAATGATCAATACTCGTGAAAATGACCCCTGATACTAAAATGTCTAAAATGATGTTAACACAGAGCAACTTGTATTTCTGTATGTAGTGCAGCTTCAGTTATTAGGGCTATGTATTGGCAAGAATCTGTGGATACAATACGTATCACGATAAAGGGGTTACGATTCAATATACTGCGATATATTGCAGTTTTTAAAAATCTAACCACCATATGCATCAAATGTGAGTAAAAAACGTTATGCAACCAGAACAGTGGGTTCTGAATTTGAATTTATCACAGTCCCTGTAACATCCAACATCATAGCCCACAGCTTACGTGTTTTTGAGAATCGATACAATATCGCAAAACAAAATATCTCTATACTCGAGTGTATCTTTGGTAGGTGGGTTATATTTGTTGCTCTGCTCCATAACAAATGATCTGTGTGAACACAAGGTGAAAGCTAGTGACAGTCACAGTATTTTGATAGACCCAGAGTGATTATAATTAATACGTTTGGTACATAAATGTCTCACTTTTAGCTTTTAGGTTTGTGTATGACTACTAAGGCGCCTGTTGTATGTGGACTTAACAGATCTGAACAGCAGGCCCCTGAGCAGTAGGGGGATTCCCTCTGTCCTAGGATCTTTGATGAAAGGTTGTATCCTCCCTGTCTCTGACTCCCACTTGGTTTCATGACCCCCAGAAAGCAGTCCAGTCCCACTGTACAACAGCCAGCCTGACTTCTGAGACCTCCAATGTGGTCTATGAAGGGTCAGGTGACTGGAGGCGAATGTGGTGATTGATTGCAGTGAAAAGGAGAAGGAAGTGACAGTATATTATGCTCCTCTCTTGTATTGTAATATTTCTAGTATGTGTTGTTTCGACTAATAAAGGCCTCTAGCTAATCACTTTATGACTATTGTGTGTTTTTCAATAAATCAAATGTGAAAGATGGAAATAAGCATGATGTATTGTAATGTTTGAGATTGAACACTTTAAAAAAACCTAAAGTAAATTCCATTAGATAGTAGCCGGATTCTGTTTGACAATGGTACATTTTCCTTTTTCTTGTGAAACACGAGGAACCATCGTAGAGGACAGGGTGACAGGAGACTGATTAAACATCTTCAGTGCACTTTGTTGCAGGAAACTTGTACATATGTGATTCGTGAGATGCTGTGAAACATTGCAGAGGAGTTTAGGTGATACAGGGGCTATTATCAGATTTTTCTAGAATGGGAATATATTGGCAAATCATTGTTCATCAGTTTATGGGATAATATCTATGTATGATTTTAAATTATAAGATAAGATAATTCCTTTA